GAGTCAAACATCCCATAACTCACGTCGATTTGTATGATATTTTGACTTCTCTTTAGTAGGTCGTGGGAAGGTGGATTTAGGTAAGACTATTTAGTATTTACCCCATGCTGTACGAGTTGATTGGTCACCCACAATTCATTTTTATACATAAAATAGCTTTGTTAGGCTAAATTTAAGTAAAATTTTTAAACAGTACGATAGAGAACTTTCACGAGTTTCTTTTGCCTTATTGAATGCAGGGTTGTACTGATGAGACATCGTCCGGCTTAACCCATTTCCTCTAGTGAAAGACCCTAGCTCTATTATGTTATGGTCTCCCACATTATCGAGTTTGCATACAATCTCAATGAAGGCTAGGAAAAAGAAGGGACAATATTATTGCTCGCCCCCACTTTGGAAAAAAATAATAGCAGGTAGGATAAGGTACATAAGAAGAGTCTAGTTCAATTCAAAGATGCATCACTTAGGTAATTGCACAACTTTTAACATTAAAAAGAAGTCTGGGGTAATTCAATGGTTCAACTCTGATTCAAATGATTTCTGAGGTATATCTCTGATCTGATTTAGTCGAGGGTGTTCCATCGTTTGAGTTCTCAATGGCCTTTTTATTCAATCTTTCCCACTTGAGCTTATTCAATCTTTCGCACAATAAAATATTTTGGACGTAAATTCAAAACTTTTTTCCACATTTTAACGACGTTCTCTAAAAAATTACTATTCAAACAGGGGCTTAGATAAAAATGTTACATATAGATAAACTTTCAGAAATTTTTTTTAGGTATCGCCTCTTTTAAAATTAGCAATTTTTTGCATCATAAAAATTGGAGTGAATTTAAACTTCGAAATACTTCTAATCGAAACCAATCACTTTTGTTTGTCTTCATTGTATAAAACTAAGGAATGGGGCGGTCGAAAATGGAAAGATAATTTGACAACATTCCAATGTAAAACATGTAGGTTAATTATACAATTTTTTTTTTTTTTTTTGCATTAATGAAACTTAAGTTTCTTAAAAGGGTAAGACTAAGAGCATGTTTCGTAAAGTCTAAAATAAAAGTAAATTTGTTTTGAAGCAAGTTTTAAGGTTAACCAAACAAGTTTCTAGATTTATGTAACGCCTCGAAAATTTTCTATAAAACTTTTATTTGTTTTACATGCTATTTTAATATTTTGAAAAAAAAAATGAGGATTAAAATGAAATAGGTTTTAAAAATCAATTTTATTTTTGAGTCAAATAATTATGGCATGTTCTCCTTACCATTTTCAAGCCGTTTTCTGTTTTCGATTTTCAAAAACAGTAAAAACGTGTTCTTTTTCTTATTTTCGAATACGCATTTTTTAAAATACGCGTTTTCAGTTATAATCTAGTTAAAATATTCAAAATGAGTTTTGGATGTTTTCAAAATAATTTTTCAAAATGTCAAAATGAACATATTTTTAACAATCTCAAAATGGACACTTAAAATACAAAACCAAAAATGAATTCAAAACTCAAAATACAAAATTGAAATACAAATAGAACAGCCCCTTAAATTTTGATATAGCTAGTTTTAGTATATCAATATTGAACTCTTTTTGTAGCTCGTAATTAATTAGAAGTCTTCGATTTGAGAAAAAAAAATTGTTTTGGATAAGAACACAATAAGTTAGATCCAATTGAAAGAAAAGAAGGATAAATAGAATTTTAAATAATTTATAACTCAATTTAATTTCTGTGTGGATGGGATGATAAATGTTGATTTTGATAATGATAATCGTATTGTGATTTGGATAGAGTTTAATTGTAATCTTAATTTGATAAAATTTAATAGTAATCATAATT